GGCAAACACGCCCGAAAGCAAGGTGGCATGCTTAACAGTCGAAGCTCGTTCACTCTGCAACGTCCACGGGCCGAGTAAGCCATTATGGGAAATCCGGGAGCACAGTCCAGTGGAAGTGATTAATCCTTTTGCATCATGTCTTTTACATCCTCGATCGCTTCCTATTAGGTCCAAGAGATGCCTCAGAGATTAGCCCGGGCTGAAAAAAACAAGTAACACAATCACTTCCAGACCACTTCAACAGCGAAACCCATCTCGGGCGGGGGTTCATGATCGGACTCGCTGACGAGGTCGTTGGCGGAGTCCTAGGAGGGCACACGTCGCTTTTGGGGGAGTTCGTTCGTTCGATTCTAGGTGGACTTGGTCCCATGCAGTGGCGATGCTGCGGCCGGTGTAGGCGACCCCGGGTACGATGCGGCCGATGTTCTTGGGTCGGTCGTATGGGCGACAGATTTCGACATCGGCGGCCTTTCTTCCGCAAAAAGCGTTTTCAGAGGCCTTTTGATCTGAAACCCATTGGGAGGTTTTCCCCCGGGACGAACGATCTCCGACAGTTGTTTTCTTCTGTTCTTTGCGTGGAAGAAGCCCCGATTTCGGGAACCCAGATATATTCACTGGCGGAGATCCCGCCGGAAACGGGAAACGCCATGCTGTAATGAACGGATCCTTGGGATCATCATTCATGTAGGCTCTGGATTTGAAACAATTGTATTAAACACCCACGTACGAAGAGGCCTTACACAGCTTTACACTGCAATCCATGCTTTTGAATCAAGAATCTACACTACTTCGCACATGGGACAATACTCATATCCACCTCGGTTCACTTAAAACATCCGTTCCATGCGGGATGTTTTTGTGAACACCGACTTTATGCACTGATTTTGGACAAAGGATGGGGCAGTTTGGCTCATGTCCCAAGAAATCTTCGACTTTCCACAGGTTCAGCAGCGAACACGTTTTTTTCCTTCCTGAAGGCCCCATTGTAAATCCCAAGCAACACCTGTGAGATTTTGGCTCTGGCTGCTCAGCTGCTCCAAAAAACGCTGCTTTCTCAGGTGCTAAATCGGACACTGAGCAAATCAAGGCGCGAAAGCACGCGGCTCCATGAGAATCCTCATCCGGTTGCGACCAAACACGTCGGTCGGCTTGGCCAAAACCGGTCGGGCGTCGCTTCGCCCTTTCCTTTTGTCTGCGGAGCCGCTTTGATGTGCTTTGGACATGCATGTGGAATCACACCGAGAAAGCGCCACGCGCAAGCACGCGAGCCAACCGCGGTCCAGGTCATGTCTCCTTCCTATGGCAGTCTGGATGGAAGCAGCGTTGGCCTCCCAGCCGACATGTCGACCTTTCCGTGGGCATGCGAAACGTCGGGTTCAAAGGTGGTGAAAACAGGTGGTGTGGGTGGGTGTGTGGGTGAGCATGGAACACCGAGGGGGGTGCAGCTTGCGTGTCTGGGGTCGTCCAAAACGTTGTGAGGTCTTACCTGAGAGCGAGACGATGGGGCAAGAAAGAACAGAGGCGAGGCCCGGTGGCCGCAGCAGATCCACACCGAGAAAAGCGGTGGATCGGCTGCGCACGAGTTCTGCTTCTGCCAGGCCATGCAGATCAACATGCCTGAAGAACTCATGGCGCGCGTGGAAGACACCAACATTCGGCTCACCTGGTTCTTCGACGAGGAGAGCACGTGTTTGCAAGCGTCGAAGATACTGAGGCCTTGGCTGTTTGTCCACACTGGTTATATACATTTGCAGCAAAAGCTGGTTGCACGTGGTGCTTTTGGAAAGGTGAAGCGTAGAATCGCCAAGCCATGCCCACTATTTGAGTGGTCAAGAACCTATCTCCGAGCTACAATGCCGCTCTCTTCAAACAAAAGCCTTCAGTTCAAACCTTTCCTGACGTCGATTTGCTGGCCGATCTCTGTCCCCAGGATTTGCTCGAGCGTTTGGGACCTGAGATCACCTTTGAAATCCGTCAGCAGTCCGAGGGCATTGGAGGCGCGACCGCGTACCGCTCCGCGCGACCCCGCGTCGCCCGCGCGACGCAGCCGCGGTGCGCAGCGCGGCGCTTCACGCGCTCTGTGCGAAACGAGTCCCGGGCCGCATGGGATCAAATCGAGGACCAGGTTGAGAGGCAAGGGAAGATTGAAGAGCGAGTGGGAGATTTTGTATGCAGTGTTCGATGCAGGTGTTTCAAAAGGTTGCACTATTCACTATTCCAAGCTAACATGGCCATGGCTCCAAGGTAAAGCAGTTCTTTTGTTGCAGATGTTCTGCAGGTCGCTTGCGTGTTCGTGAACACTGGTGTTCAGCCGTTTACTTTGCCAAGGGTGAGGCAGTACAGGCGGCGGAGAGACAGGGGTTCCGCTTGGAAGCATGCTGAGGGACCAACTCGACCAAATACAGTGGGGCTCGCAGACATTTTGTATGTTCAGACATGTTTCAGACTCAGTAACAATAAAGCTACTAGCTTGTCTTTGAAGCTTTCTAGTAACTAGAAGCTACTACGTGGAGGCCATCGCTAGTAGGTTCCCATTGCTTCTTCTTTCGTCTTCAGACCTTTAGAAGAAAGAAAGACATTCGGTGCGCCGCGCTTGACGCGGCCAGGAGCAGAGCTATGTGATTGAGGGCTGTGCCCCTGGCAGACCGTACACCTTCAGTCTCCGAGCCCGAGTGCCGTGGGGCCACCAAGATCAGCAGCGGCGCGGTGCGGTCTTTTGGTTTTGTTCAAAATCAGAGATCAAACAGTTGAAGATGCAAAGAAAGTCAGACAACGGCAGCGGTTGAACATCATCCTTCAGAGATTGGTTTGGGCAACACCCAAACCCGGAAAAAAAACGCGGAGTTCTCGCTTTCAGGTGTCCTGGTGGAGTCCAATTTTCGGAGTTCTCTGACCATGTCATTGCTTCGGTACCAGGTGGGATTTGCCTCGCATTTGATTCGACTGTTTGGAATTTGAAGCCCTGGAAGTAGTCTATTTTTTGAATGATTTGGAGGAGGCAAAAACGTGGCATCGCTGTGCTCAACAGAAGCCTCAGTGGAAATCAAAGGTCACTTGGACAAAGCCACATGCTCCGACACTAGAGCCTCAGGATTCAGGACCCATGATTATCACTTCGGGTTTGGTTTGGGTCACATGTAGGGCCCCAGCAGATCTGGTCAGCTTCGCTTTGCTTTCCTCCGTGTACAGAGGATCAAGTACTTTCACTCGCCTTCGGCACTCGCCTTCTCGGCTTTCGGAACTCTCACATGTCAGACACCCGCAGAGACACGAAAGCAGAGACGGGGGACGCTCAGATGCAGGTGGAATCGGAGCCCTGCTCGGCTGCATCCGTTCGTTCAGTCAGGGTTGTACATGGATGGTCCCATCGCATGGCCTCCAAGCGATTCGGCTTCCTTCAGCGAGGTGAAGGCACTCTTCAAGAGATGGTCACTGCTCCAACGACTCTTGCTGCTTGGTATAACGCCAAAGAGGCCAGACATTGCCATGGCTCAACAAAAACGTAAGACCTGACTAGTTTCTTTGTGGAGCACCACACCGGGTCGAAAGCTTCCGCCATCCAAACAGGAGAGCCAACACCTGGATGCCCCTTGTGTCACGAAGATTTTTCGCCTTGAGGCTCAAGACAGCCACGCAAGAGCGCAGGTGACGGTATTTTGGGCATGGAGTCATCTGCCGTTCAAAAGACCTGCACACACTCAATGCCGGGGCTGAAGAAGTGCGCTTGACATCCATGATCCATGATAGCGACAGAATATCTCGGTTTTTGCAACGGATGAGAATCTGCACTCTGTGACATCAACTTGCTTGCTAGAAGACATATAGTATATATATATATATCTATACTTGCCCAAACAATTCTCAGTATCCAGTGGTCCCCAAGTCCCTGACATGGAGAGCAAAGACCTGTTGGTCGCGTTGAACATAGCCTGCTTCAATCTACTTCAAGTCATTTGAGCACCATGCAAACGATGGTTTCAAAGCCAGGTCTTTCAGGCACTGAAGCCTGCCGTGCAGATGCTTCGCGAGCAGGCTGGATGCAGATGGTGAAGGGAAAGATGTATACAGTGCGTCCACCACCTGGCGCCAGGTTCAGGTACCTCTGAAGCCTGAAGTGCTAATGCAAGAGCAGGCAGAGACTGCTGACCTCAAGTTCTCAAGCAAACTGTCACTGACCAGTTTCAGGCAGCCGTGAAGCCTGAAGTGCACTTTGTGCAGGAGCAGGCTCGATGGCTTTGTGTTTTGTGCAAGGAAGCAACTTTCGTGACATGTTGCGCATCAAGCGCTCTCTGACCAGGTTCAATCACCGGTAAAGCGTGAAGTGCAAGTTGCGGAGCAGGCTGAGTGTTCTTTGGGAAAAGAAGCAAAATGCTCAACAGGTTGTGCATCAAGTGCTCTCCGATCAGGTTCAATCACCCCTAAAGCCTGAAGTGCAAGTTGTGGAGCAGGCTGAGTGTTCTTTGAGAGAAGAAGCAACATGCTCAACAG